CAGTGATTAATCCAACTGGGCGTGAGCATGTTCAAGCAGTTACCTTGAGAACTGGTAAGGTAATTGGTGAAATTAATGGTTTTAAAAATTTGATTCCAAATGATGATGAGATGCAGGTTGAGCAAGTGACTAAGCCTAAAGAAAAGGATGAAATCAACCAAGAAAAAGATAAACAAGTAGCTTCTTCATCTGAGTGGATCCCAAAGCATGAAACTGCGAGAAGGGCAAGAAAGGAGAAGGTAAGTTGTGAACCTACTGATGAAGATATCTTACGTGCTTCTTTTCCTCACAGGTTGATGAGTTCCAAAAAAATTCAACATGCCAAGGACATATTGGAAACCTTCAGAAAAGTGCAAGTCAATATTCCCCTCCTGGATGCAATCAAACAAATTCCGAGTTATGCAAAGTTCTTGAAGGACCTTTGTACCAACAAGAGGAGATTCCAAGATCATGAAACGGTTGCACTAACGGAAAAAGCTTCTGCTGTTTTGCAAAGGAAGCTCCTTCCCAAATTAAAAGATCCAGGAAGTTTTACAATTCCTTGCATTATTTGTGATAAATTGTTTGAAAAAACTTTACTTGATTTAGGTGCTTCAATTAATCTAATGCCTTATTCTGTTTTTGAAGCCCTTAATTTAGGTGATCTTAAACCAACTTCTGTCAGCATTCAATTGGTGGACCGATCAGTGAGATATCCAAGAGGAATCTTGGAAGATGTACTTGTGAAAGTAAATGATCTCATTTTACCAGCTGACTTTTTGGTGCTAGAAATGGAAGAAGCTCCTATTCCGGGTGCGGATCTTCCATTGATTCTTGACTGCCCTTTCATGGCCACTGCAGATACTAGGATCAATGTTCGACAAGGAACATTGACAATGACAGTTGAAGGGGAAACAATAATGTTCAATATATATGATGCCTTCAAACTACCAAATGCTTGAACGTCTTGCAGGTCACAGTTACTACTGATCTTGGATGGCTATTCAAGTAGACGTCTATATCATTTCCTGGTTGTTTAGGACCGGAAATCAATAAAGTCAACATCATGAACTTTCGTTTCATGCACAGCCATGGTGGGAGATTATATGTAACTAAGATAACTGGCCAGCAACTATATTTGCTACTTAGAGAACCGTGGGGATTGAATCCATCAGATGAAATAGCCAATCTCAAGTTTCTCGGCTCATTATCAAACTCGGGCCATTAATCATCAACAAGTCAATTGATTTTAAATTTATGTGCATCATACACTCCTCTAATCCTATCCGCCGGATAAGACATCTGACCGTCAATTGATTGTCTAACAACATGCCAAGTCAAACTCTTAGCTGTCTCATGTGATTGAAACATCCTTTTAAACCTTGGAATTGGAGGAAAATACCACACCACCTTCGCTGGCACACCCTCTTTCAAGATTGAATCTTTGCGCAAATAGGACAATTAGTTGAATCTTCATACTCCTTCCTATACAAGATGCAATCATTGGGGCATGCGTGAATTTTCTTATAACTCAACCCCAATGCACACAAAGTCTTTTTTGCCTCATACATAGAGGCCGGTATTGTATTTCCTTCTGTAAGCAAATTGCCCTGAAGTATTAATAATTCTGTAAAACAGACATCACTCATCCTATGTTTTGCCTTCAAATTATACAACTTCACTAATGCCGATAACTTGGTGTACTTTCTACAACCAGGGTACAATGGTTGATCTCCATCCCCAATCACATTAGCAAACTCATAAGGATCGGATCCAAAATCACCAAAATCATTATAATCCATCTCTATTTCTTCAGGCACAAAAATGTACCTACTATGGTCATCATCTTCTTCAACATTTCTACTAGCATTACTAGTTGCAATTGGTTCCCAAGGTTCTCCATGAAATGGCCAATTCTTATAGCTTTGGTCAACTCCATTAAAGTATAAGTGATCCCTTATAATTTCAACCCCAAACAATCGCAAATTCACACATTTAACACATGGACAACGGATATATGTTGTAGTTAGAAGATTTTCTACATAAAATTTCAAAAATGCTTCCACCCCTAACTCATATGCCTTCGATCTTCTATCCGAGTGCATCCATGACTTATCCATCTCCGACACTATATCCTATTATCTATAATAAGGTGAAAAGACAAGCAATGACTATCACTATAGCAAATTATATAAGGTTTTAATAGCAAATAATATAGTAAACAGACAACGGTTTTTTAACAACAACAGACGTTTTACACATATATAGACGACGGGTTTTAAAAAAAACGTCGTCTAAT